GGGCTCTGCCTCTCTGTCCCCACAACCGCTGCAAACCTCAGAGGGACCGTAGCCAGACAGTCCTGCTTCTCCCGTTTGAGTCTGGGTCCCTAGAGACTCGCCCGGATCTGTAGCTCAGAGTCTGAGACTCACTCCTGATTGAAAACGACAACCGCGCCCTCAGCCACCAGCCCGCTTTCCGCGCGCACCACCGCACCACCGTACCTTTAAATTTTCCACACTGCGCCTCCTCTAATCCTGGTAATGCTGTTGTTTTTCCTTCTAGTTGTAGAGTCTCTCCTCAGCCAGCCTTCCTGTGGTTCTGGGTGATGTCCGTTCCGTCTTTTAGTTGTATTTTTGAAGTGGTTGTTCCAGGCAGCAATCTCCGGTGTTTACCTATGCCGCCATCTTGGTTTCCCTTTTCACTTGATTTTTAGATTCACTTGTTGATAGATGCATGTTTGTTGTTCATAATTTGTATCTTTACCTTTTTCTTCTTCCTCTTCTTAAAGGATACCTTTCAGCATTTCATATAATACTGGTTTGGTGGTGATGAACTCCTTTACCTTTTTCTTATCTGTGAAGCTCTTTATCTGGCCTTCACTTCTGAATGATAGCTTTGCTGGATAAAGTAATCTTGGTTGTAGGTTCTTGGTATTCATCACTTTGAATATTTCTTGCCACTCCCTTCTGGCCTGCAAAGTTTCTGTTGAGAAATCAGCTGACAGTCATATGGGTATTCCCTTGTAGGTAACTGATTTTCTTTCTCTTGCTGCTTTTAAGATTCTCTCTTTGTCTTTTGCTCTTGGCATTTTAATTATGATGTGTCTTGGTGTGGTCCTCTTTGGATTCCTTTTGTTTGGGGTTCTCTGTGCTTCTTGGACTTGGAAGTCTATTCCTTTCACCAGGTAGGGGAAGTTTTCTGTCATTATTTCTTCAAGTAGGTTTTCAATATCTTGCTGTCTCTCATCTTCTGGCACCCCTATAATTCGGATGTTGGTACGCTTGAAGCTGTCCCAGAGGCTCCTTACACTATCTTCGTATTTTTGGATTCTTTTTTCATTTTGCTTTTCCGGTTGGGTGTTTTTTGCTTCTTTGTATTTCAAATCTTTGACTTGATTCTTGCGATCCTCTTGTCTGCTGTTGGGAGTCTGCATAATATTCTTTATTTTAGTCAGTGTATGCTTAATTTCTAGTTGGTCCTTTATCACAACATCGAGGGTCTCATTAGATTATTTGAGGATCTCACTACATTTATCAGCGGTCTTACCAGTCTTTTCGAGGATCTCACTACATTTATCGGCGGCCTCACCAGTCTTTTCGAAGGCCTTACTCAATTTATCGGCGGCTTCTAAACAGTGCTTTAAAGACCTTAAAAGTGTGGTTTTGAACTCTATATCCAGCAGTTTGCTTTCCTCCATTTCTGTCATTTGTGTCCTGTTTCTTTGTCTCAGCATTTTTTATGCTTCGCTGTGTCGATAGAGTGCCTTTCTGTGCTAAGTGTCCCAATTACCTGAGGTAGACACTCTTGGTGCACCCCCTTGTGGGCTTTGTGCACAGTCTTCTTGTAGTTAAGCCTTGATTGTTGTAGTTATCACTGTGAGGAATTGACCTCCAGGCCAATTGGCTCTGAGAATCAGCTGTGTCTGCGGTGGGAGAACTTCTGTGCTGGAGACACCCCTCTGGGGCTAGACTTGCTTCGATGGGGCTTTGGTGCTCACTGAGTCTGCCCCCTGAGTGTGTCTTTTATGGTTCCAGGGAGCTGCAAACTGGATGGTCCCACTCTGACCTCTGGGCTTCCTGGCTCCTGGATCTCTAGGGAGGTGCTAATCTAGCCTTTGCCTGAGGCTACCCAGCAAAAGCCTCCCTGCAGGGGTTGGGTGGGGCGGGTCCCACGGGATCAACAGGGCGGGCTTAGCAATTATGGCTGCTCTCAGTCTTGCCCTCAGAGGCTCTATTCTCAGTGTCCCAGTAATCGCTGCAATCCCCTCGTAGAGAAAGCTGCCCTAGGGTTCTGAGCGATGCCAGACAGTCCCGCTTCTCCTGTATGAGTCTGGGTCCTTAGAGACTCGCCCGGAACTGGAGCTCAGAGGCTGAGACTCCCTCCCGATTGAAAACGACAACGGCGCCCTCAGCCTCCACCCCGCTCTGCATGCACTCCGCACCTTAGTATTTTACTTCAGCACTGCGCCTCCTCTGAGCCTCAGTATGCTTTTCTCTTTCCTCCTAGTTGTAGAACTTCCACTCAGCCAGCCTTCCTGTGGTTCTGGATGATGTCCGTTCCGTCTTTTAGTTGTATTTTTGAAGTGGTTGTTCGAGGCAGCAAACTCCCGTGTTTACCTATGCCGCCATCTTCTAAAAATTATTTTTTCTTGAACGTTAACTTACCAGACACTGTATAACGGCATAAACTAATGAGCCTAACGCAAATAAAACTATTTTTGTTGTTCTCCAGAAGCGAAATATTTCCTGTTGCACACATCAGACAAGTCAGTACAAGACTAATGAGGTGGCCATCGGCTGCTAAAATATTCGCTGCTGGTATTAGTGGAGAGAAATGGTGCACCTGCGCATAAGGCGCGTAAGGGAAATGAATGTAACAGGATTTTAGTCAGCAGTCATTAGCGAACATTGTAGTTCATCCTTAATAATGATGTATAACAGGATATTGTAAAAAGTTAAGAAATTTTTATTAAAATGTTTCTTGCCATTATATTGAATGGGCCGCAAAAATATTCATTGTGGTCCGCAGGCCGCGAGTTTGACATGCTTGACCTAGAGGGTATTCTGCAAAGTGAAATAAGTCAGCCAGAAAAAGACAAATACCATATGATTTCTTTTTAAAAATATACATATATTTTTATTGATTTCAGAGAAGAAGGGAGAGGGAAAGAGAGAAACATCAATAATGAGAGAGAATCATGGATCGGCTGCCTCCTGCACGCCCCCAGCTGGGGATGGAGCCCGCAACCTGGGCATGTGCCCTTGACCAGAATTGAACCCAGGACCCTTCAGTCTGCAGGCCGATGCTCTATCCACTGAACCAAACTGGCTAGGGCCAAATACCATATGATTCCACTTACATGTGGAATCTAAAGAAAATAAATGAACAAACAAAAATTGAAACAGACTCATAGATACAGAGAGCAGACTGGTGGTTACCCGAGGGGAGAGATTGGGGTCTGGGGGAAAGAGGTGAAGGGATTAAGAAGTACAGAATGGCAGTCACAAAGTAGCCATGGGGATGTAGAGTACAGCATAGGGAATAGAGTCCATCATATTGTGATGACTATGTATGGTGCCGAGTGGGCACTGGAAATATCAGGGGGAGCACTTTGTAAAGTATAGGATTGTCTAACCGCTATGCTGTACAGCTGAATACAAAATAATAAAAGTATACTGAAATTTAAATTTAAAAAAAAAGTGCTTTATGAGAGCCATTGGCCACATGTGACTTGAGAAGTTGAAATATGACTAGTCCAAATGAAGATCTTTTGTGAGATCTTTTCACTGGCCCTAGCCTGTTTGGCTCAGTGGGTAGAGCGTCGGCCTGCGAACTGAAGGGTCCCAGGTTCCATTTCGGTCAAGGGCACGTACCTAGGTTGCAGGCTCCTCCCGTGCCCAGACCCTGGTTGGGATGCATGCAGGAGGCAACAAATAGATGTGTTTGTCTCACATCGATATTTCCCTCTGTCTTTCTCTTTCTCTTCCACTCTCTCTGAAAAATCAATGGAAAAATATCCTCAGGTGAGAATTTTAAAATTTGTCAAATTAAAAAAATAAAATAATTTCACTTGTCTCTTCTTGCTTTTTTAATGCGGCCACTAGAAATTTTTAAATTACATAAGTGGCTTGCATTATATTTATGTTGGACAATGCTGCTTTAGATAGATTCAAGGACCCTGAATAATAGAAATGAAAATGAACCAGGACTCACAGAAATTTGCTCTTTACTCGGTGTTTCAAACGAGCAATACTGTTTTATGGATTTTTAATCTTTTTTTATTATTTTAATGCTCAGTTTATAAGTGAAGGGAATACAGCCAATATTCTTCAACAGTTTTCATCCTAAAACAAAAACAGCCCTACCTGGTTTGGCTCAGTGGCTAGAGCATCAGCCTGCGAACTGAAGGGTCCCAGGTTCAACTCAGTCAAGGGCATGTGCCTAGGTTGTGGGCTGGATCCCCAATAGGGGGCGTGCAAGAGGCAGCTGATCGATGATTCTCTCTCATCATTGTATTTCTATCTCTCTCGCTCCCTTCCTCTCTGAAATCAATAAAAATATCATATGTATGTGTGTGTGTGTGTGTGTGTGTGTATATATATATATATATACACACACACACACACACATATATATATGCCTACCTAATATCCAAAGTGTCCCCTCAGGAGTTCCCCTGACCGAGAATTCGATCGCTCGCTATGACATACTGTGACCACCAGGGGCCGGAAGGGAGGCCCCAGCTGGAAGCCTCTAGGGACCCCACCCGTGCACGAATTTTGTGCACTGGGCTTCTAGTATGAAAGGTAAATAAGTAAATAAAAAAAGATGGAAAAGTATTTACAGGCAGTTCCCAACATACGATAGTTCCACTTAATGATTTTTTGACATTGTGGTGATGGAAAAGCCATGTGCATTGTAAACTACATCAATTTTTCAACACTTCATTATAAAATAGGCTTTATGTTAAATACTTTTGTCCAATTATAGGCTAATGTCAGTGTGCTGAGCACATTTAAGATAGTTTATTGTCATGTAATGCCATTGTAAGTCAAGAAGCATCTGTACTTGTCATTCTAGTGTCTTCGGATACTGAGCAAACCCTAACATCTCTTGAGTGGTGTGTAGAGTTCACGGATAATCCTGAGTTTTAGCCCTGACTCTGCTCTCCAGGAAGATGTGTGGGCAGAAATGTAAAGCTCTTGGCAGCCCAGGCATGCTCTGACCATGCATAGAATCCCTCTTCCTTGGAGGAGAAATTAATTTTCATATTCTTATTTGACCTTTTCCTCCACAGATATCACGTTAACAGCCCAAACTACCGCATTTTTAGTACCAGAAGTACTGTAAGTGTTTAACTTTTTAAAACTATAGTTAAGTTTTTTTGTTTGTTTTTTTGTCTTAGGGCAGAGTTAATCATACTCAGTTGTATAGTACAGTGTCATTCTTTTATTTGTATTTCATATTCATTTCATTTATCTTCCTAATATAGATCTCCCTCTCTAATAATAGTCCTTAGATATGTAAGTTGCAAAAACAAGTGGTGTTGGTTTGAGTGTTTTGTGATTAATATTCAAAACATAATGTCAAGATACAGATAGGATGACCCTGTCTCATTTATCTTCTTATTTTAATCCTCAGAACCTACTAGAGTACCTCCTAGATACTTAATATATTATTTTTGAAATAAAATACAAATCTTATTTGGTGGGGAAACTACTGAAGTGCCCCAAAAAGTTACTTTTCCTTCATTGTACTACTTTCTATAATTTCAAATACATCAAAGTTTAATTATTATCCTATCTAATAATAGACAAACATGGTAATTAACCGTACCTTCGCTAGGCCTCCCATTAGGTAATCAGCGCAATATGCAAATTAACCACCAACAAAGATGGCTAATTTGCATACTGCAGGCAGGGCGGGACAGTGCCATCCCGCCACCTGGGCCTGCTATCTGCGACCCGGGGTGGTGGGCGTCCGTGTGCCACCCGACCCGGGGCGCCCCGGCGGGACAGCAGCGATCAGCTGGCCCGCCCGGGCGGCCCGTGTGTGACCCAACCCAGGGTGGAACTCCAACCCCCGGATCGGCCCTGCCGTGTGCGCAATCCGGGGAGGCGGGGCAGGCACCGAGGGATCGGGCCTGCCATCTGCCACCCGGGGAGTGGACCTAAGCCAGCAGGTGGTTATCTCCCGAGAGGTCCCAGATTGTGAGAGGGCACAAGTGGGGCTGAGGGACACCCCCCCCACCCCACCCCCCTCCAGTGCACAAATTGTTGTGCACCGGGCCTCTAGTTCTATATAATAAAAGGCTAATATGCAAATTGACCGAACTGCAGAATGACAGGTCGCTATGACGCGCACTGACCACCAGGGGACAGATGCTCAATGCAGGAGCTGCCCCCTGGTGGTCAGTGCGCTCCCACAGGGGGAGCGCCGATCAGCCAGAAGCTGGGCTCATGGCTGGCGAGTGCAGCAATGGTGGCGGGAGCCTCTCCCACTTCCGGGGCAGTGCTGAGGATGTCCAACTGACAGGTCCAATCCTAAGCCATCAGTTGGAGATCCCCTGAGGGCTCCTGGACTGGGCGTAGGCCAGGCTGAAGGGCCCCTCCACCCCCGAATGCACGAATTTCATGGACTGGGCCTCTAGTTTCTTTAATAAAGACCCAGAAAATTAAATCGTACATCTGAACAATGACATGAAAATTTTGGAGCAAAGTTTTTGTTTGAACTATTTTATCTTCTTTTTTTAGATTACATTAGAGTATGAAGGAACATTATTTTCTGAGTGGAGTGTGCCAAGAACTTGTTCTGTGAAAAATAAACGGTAATATTTTTGTCGTGAATGTCAGTGTATGTGTATTTACACGTAACAAAACATTTATATAGCATGAATTCACACTCAAGGCTGTGATTTAATGTGAAGTTCTTCCCATTAAATAGATGTGAAAAGAAAAACAAAATCAGTTTGAAAATAGAAGTCAAATATTGCTGTATTTTTCTTTTTGTTATTGAAGTTTTTAGGCTTAAACAAGAGTAGAAAACTTTGATTAATCTCATATGCATCTTTATTTATTTCTCCCTTCTTGTTCTCTTTAAATGCTAGTTCGCCTAAGACAGAGCTGCGCTGTTCTTCTCCGGGCATTCAGACTATAAGACCAATTGTTACAGGGCCAGTGAGTTGATCTGAATTATGAAACTTGAAAAATCCAGTTCATTTTTCCTTTTTTTCAGCTTTCAACCTAATTCAACCTGTTTTAAATAGTATAAGTTGTAACTGTAAATGAGAGGTATTTTTAAATTACTGTTAAAATGTCATTAATTTTTAGATGTGTCTCTGCAAGTTATAAGTGATGGAATGGTATGTGATTTTCACTTCGCCTTTTATCAGCATGTTAAAGCCCCAGTTACCATCGTAATGATAACAGTGCTCCTGGCTGAGGGGGCTGAGGGGGCTCACGTCGTGTACTCCTATGACAATGCCCAGGATGAAGAGCCATTTCTAGATTTGTTTTTACTCTGTTGTTTGTTTGTTTTTTCAAGAAAACATGTGAATGCAAATAAATAAATCCTTTCAGGTTTACCAAAAAAGTAAAGCATTCTAATATTTTTTTATTGACTTCATACAGGAAGGAAGAGGGAGAGAGAGATTGAAACATCAATGATGAGAATCATTAATCGGCTGCCTCCAAGCCCGCAACCCAGGCATGTGCTCTTGATGGGAATCGAACCCGGGACCCTTCAGTCCCCAGGCCGACACTCTACCACTGAGTCAAACCAGCCAGGGCAAGCATTTTAAATATTGGCACTTTATCAATTAGTAACAAAATACTGGACCCACACCTCACAGCTTAAGTTTTCACACAAATGTGTAAAGCCACTGCTACAGAGACGCTGTGTGACTAATCCTGCCTTTACTTTGGGGCCTGTGCCTTCTTTTTATTTTCATTTTATTTTATTTTTTTAATATATATTATTTATTTTTTACAGAGAGGAAGGAAGAGGGAGAGAGTGTTAGAAACATCGATGAGAGAGAAACATCAATCAGCTGCCTCCTGCACACCCCTTACTGGGGATGTGCCCGCAACCAAGGTACATGCCCTTGACTGGAATCGAACCTGGGACCCTTCAGTCCCCAGGCCGATGCTCTATCCACTGAGCCAAACCAGTTAGGGCTGTGCCTTCTTTTAAATGAACAATCTTCATTTTCATGAAACAAGTAGAGTGATATGAGAGAAGCCAGATGAATATTAATTCATTTTTTAATCCCTATAGATGGGAAAATATTTGAATTTGGCTTTTGAGTTTATGAGTTTTTCAAGTTTCATGAACATAATTCCCGAGGAAGTATAGGATTCCTTTCTCTTTTATTGTTTTTTTTAAGCCGAAACCGGTTTGGCTCAGTGGATAGAGCGTCGGCCTGCGGACTGAAAGGTCTCAGGTTCGATTCCGGTCAAGGGCATGTACCTGGGTTGCGGGCACATCCCCAGTGGGAGATGTGCAGGAGGCAGCTGGTCGGTTTCTCTCTCATCGATGTTTCTAACTCTCTATCTCTCTCCCTTCCTCTCTGTAAAAAATCAATAAAATATATTTTAAAAAATAAATAAATAAAATATCTTTTTATTGATATCAGAGAGGAAGGGAGAGGGCGAGAGAGATAGAAACATCAATGATGAGAGAGAATCGTTGATCAGCTCCCTCCTGCGCGCCTCCCACTGGGGAAAAAGCCCCCAACCCAGGCGTGTGAAATGACCGGGACTCGAACCATGACCTCCTGGTTCATAGATCAATTCTCAGCCACTGAGCCATGCCAGCCGGGTTCCTTTCCCTTCTTTTGTATGTTGAAACCCATAGAAACATTATGAAACATGTTATATAAAAAAATAAGCACACACAAATACATGTGTACAAAGGACTATCTTTGTCATTTATGTATAGTGTCATCAGATTTTACAACCTTTAAGGAAGGACATGTGTCTTTTGAAACTCACTCAAAAACAACCAAAAATATTTCCAGGCATTTTCAAATGGCCCCTGGTGAGCAAAATCACCTCTGGTTGATAACCATTAAACAAGAAAATTCACTGAATTGTGTTTCAGTGGGGAAAATTGTAGGAGCTCTGCATCAGACACTCCTATCACTCGGGAAATTACAAGAGTTTAGGGAGCTCTGTGTTGGGAATCATGGTCAAAGACTCAGACAGGGGTCCTCAAACTATGGCCCGCGGGCCACATGCGGCCCGCCGAAAACATTAGTTTTTTTACTTCAAAATAAGATATGTGCACTGTGCATAGGAATTTGTTCATAGTTTTTTTTTAACTATAGTCTGGCCCTCCAACGGTCTGAGGGACAGTGAACTGGCCCCCTGTTTAAAAAGTTTGAGGACCCCTGACTCAGGAACTGGGGGCAAAGACATATATATATATTTCTTATTATTACACAAAGTCAAATATAATAGAAACAATAAGCCATCTAAATTTGTCGCCACCCATGATAGTAAATCCTCAATTACAGAGAGTAACTAAAGAATTGGACTTATTAGTTTTATTCTGAAATTTATTCATTATACTTCCTCTAATCTTAGATAATTAACTTAGTTCCTCTGTGACTTTGATGCCTGTATTAAATTATTTTTTTAAGTTAACTTCATATATCATAGTTGCTTTTGCAATTTCTTTTAGGATTTAGAAGAAGAACGCAATTTATTTGTGGGCAGTTCTAATACTTGCTTTATGTGGTATCATAGAATTATGTAAGTAATGCAATATTGAATACAAAGGTTATTATACTTCCTAAGAGAATTAAGCTTTAAATCTTAATTAACAAAATTAACAAATGGGTTATGTACATTACAGTTTCCATATAAGCTTTCTTTCACCAATCAAGATATTCTCAAATAGCCCTAGCTAGTTTGGCTCAGTGGATAGAGCGTTGGCCTGTGGACTGAAGGGACCTGGGTTCAATTCTAATCAAGGGCGCAGGCCCTGGTTGTGGGCTTGATCCCCAGAAGGGGGCATGCAGGAGGAAGTCAATCAATGATTCTCACTCATCATTGATGTTTCTATCTCTCTCTTCCTCTCCCTTCTTCTCTGAAATCAATAAAAAAATATATTTTTAAAAAAGACATTCTCAAATATGCTGCCAAACTTATATTGGAAAAACAAACAACAATCACAACCACTATTTGAACATACACTGCTTCTATTTTATGTAAATCACATCTCTCAGTTTGTCACAATAACCGCACAAATGTAAGTATTATTATCTTTATTTTCTAAATGTAGAAATGTAAGCTTGGATAGATTAAGGAATTTGGACAGAAATACAAAGCCACTAAAAGATAGCATTGGGGTTTGACTCTGTTTTTTCAGACTACAAGACTCTTTTTTTTACTAGAGGCCCGATGCACGAAATCCGTGCAAGAGTAGGCCTTCCTTCCCCCGGCTGCCAGCACCAGCTTCCCTTTGGCACCCAGGCCCCAGGCTTAGCTCTGGCCGCTGGCAGGCACCCAGGACCTAGGCTTCCCTCCAGCCCTGGCTTAATCTGGAAAAATGTCCGGAATCACGTCTGGAAGGACAGCAGGTCTAATTAGCATATTACGCTTTTATTACTGTAGATATTACAAAAGGACTCTGTCTTGGATAGCTCTTCTAACCCATTGTAACATGAAAGTGAATGAATATAACTAAGAAGGGAAAACTAGTACAAGAAAAAATAATTAGCCCTGCCAGTGTTTCTAAATGGTTAGAGCCTTGGCCAGTCAAGGAAGGGTCTTGGGTTCCATTCCCAGTCAAGGGCACATGCCTTGGTTAGAGGTTAAATGCCAGCCCAGTTGCCCCATGCAGCAGGCAACCAATCAATGTGTCTATCTCACAATGATTCGTTCTCTCTCTCTCTCTCTCTCTCTCTCTTTTTCTCTTTCTCCCTCCTTTTACTCTCCGCCTCCCCCACACACACCCTTCTACTCTCTCTAAAAATCAATAGAAAAAAATATTCTCAGGTAAGGATTAACAAAAATAAAAAATAATAATTAACTGCACTATAAAATCATTCAATAAGCCCTAGCCTGTTTGGCTCAGTGGATAGAGCGTTGGCCTGCGGACTGAAGGGTCCCAGGTTCGATTCTGGTCAAGGGCATGTACCTCGGTTGCAGGCACATCCCTAGTAAGGGGTATGCAGGAGGCAGCTGATCAATGTTTCTCTCATCAATGTTTCTAGCTCTCTATCCCTCTTCCTTCCTCTCTGTAAAAATCAATAAAATATAAAAAAAATAAATCATTCTATAAGTAAAAAACATCAGTGAATTCATCTGTGACTTTCTTCTTTCTCTAAACATGTTTTTGAGACTCCCATGTTCAAACAAGAATCGTTAGTTCTTGCATTGTGAATGCTCAAAGGCATTCCATTGTATGAATAGTTTGCTCATTCTGCTGCCAGTGCATGTATTTGCAACCATAGGGCCTTGCTACTCAAAGTGTGGTCCAAGGGCCAGCAGCACTAGCACCTGGGAACTTGTTAGAAATGCGGAATCTCGGGCCTCATTCCAGACCTACTGGATCATGGCCTGCATTTTAACAAGATCCTGGAGTCATTTGTACGTTCATTACTGTTTGGGAAGTACCAATCTAACACACATAAGTGAGCGTTTCTCTGAGATATACACCTAAAAGTAGAATTGCCTACAGTTAGGGTATGCACTTGTTCAACTTGACTAGGTAATGCATAAGGGATTTTTGAAAAGGTTGCCAAATTTTATATCTACACCAGAAATGGACAAAAATTCCAATTGTGCTATATCCTAATGAACACTTAATATTATCTGATTTTTTACTTTTTCCAACCTGGTAGGTGTGAAATTATGCCATTGTGCTTTTTATTACACTTTCCTGATTACTGTTGAGCATGTTTTCATGTATTCATGAGGAATTTTCTTCTCTCTCTATTAAATGAGCCTTTTTACCCATTTTTGAGTTGTTTTTATATTTCATAAAGTAGTTTTATTATATTTTAATTACTAGGACATTATCATATTTTTTAAAGTATTTTATTCCACTTTATGCAGCTTTTCACTTTTTATGATCTCTATTGATAGCAGGGTCCCTACTATGGTAGATTAATTAATAAACTCTTTCCTTTATGGGTTTATCCCTTTTTTAATCTAAGAAATCTTTTCCTACCTGCAAGTTCATAAAAATATTCTCCTATATTTTTTTTCTAAAAGCTCAACATAGCCCTGGCTGATGTGGTTCCATTTGTTGGGCATTGTCCTGTGCACCAAAAGGTCACAGGTTCAATCCCGGTCAGGCACATACCCAGGTTTCAAGTTCAATCTTGATTGGGGGTGCATTCAGGAGACAACCAAGCAATGTTTCTCTCTCACATCAATGTTTCTCTCTCTCCCTTCCGCTCTCTCTAAAATAAATAAAAATATTTTTTAAATAAAAATAATAAGTAAAAGTTCAATACATTTTTGCCTTCCAGAATTAAGTCCTTAATCTACCTGGAAGTTCTTATACATGCTTCAAGACAGGGATCCAATTTTATTTTTTCTGGATGAATAATTAATTTTTCATACCCATTTATTGAATAATATGTTTACCTATAATGCCTGCTCTGTCATAGGTCAGTTTTCCATTCTGCATGGATGTCTTTCCAGTCCAGCTGTCCTTGATAAGTGGTAGCTCCAGTACCCATCCCACTCCAACCCCAGCTCTTATGCTTCTTCAGAAGTCTCTTAGCTATGTCTTGGGCCTCTTTTTCCTCCCTATACATTTTTAGAACTGATCTCTTAGCTATGTCTTGGGCCTCTTTTTCCTCCCTATACATTTTTAGAACTGATTTGTCAAATTCCACAAAAACCCTGGTCAAGAATCTATACTAATAAAAGAGTAATATGCGAATTAGACCGGACATCCTTCCAGACTAAGCCGTGTGTCCCAGGTGCAGAGGCTGAGGCAGAGGTGGTTAGGGGCGATGAGGCTGGCAGGGGAGCAGTTAGGGGCGATCAGGCCAGCAGGGGAGCAGTTAGGGGTGACAAGGCCAGCAGAGGAGCAGTTAGGGGTGATCAGGCCAGCAGGGGAGCAGTTAGGGGTGATCAGGGTTTCCAGGTGCCTGCTGCCAGCCCAGGCGAAGCCGCCTGGAGTCGCGGGTGCCTGTGGCCAGCCTGAGCAAAGCCCACCCAGTCCTGGATGCCTGTGGCCGGCCTGAGGGACGAAACTCTGGGTCCTGGGTGCTGTGGCCGGCCAGAGAGAGGGAAGCCCAGGTCCTGGGTTCCTGCAGCTGGCCAGAGGAAGGAAGCCTGTTCCCAGGTGCAGGGGCCAAGACAGAGGCGGTTAGGGGCAATCAGGAAGGCAGGCGAGCAGTTAGGGGTGATCAGCCAGGCAGGCAGGTGAGCGGTTAGGAGCCAGTGGTCCCAGATTGCGGGAGGGATGTCCGACTGCTGGTTTAGGCCCACCCCCACAGATCAGGCCTAAACTGGCAGTCGGACATCCCCCAAGGGGTCCCAGATTGGAGAGGGTGCAGGCCGGGCTGAGGGCCCCCACCCCCTGTGCACAAATTTTGTGCACCGGGCCTCTGGTCTATCTATATAAAAGGCTAATATGCTAAGTGTCCTTCCTACCTTCCAGCTGGTTGCTATGACATGCACTGACCACCAAGGGGCAGGTGCTCAGTGCAGGAGCTGCCATGAACACACAGAGAAACGGCACTGTGGACTTGGTGCCCACAAAGCAACACTCGGCTTCCCCCAAGTGGGACACAGGCCCCACCACTACCCCGGAGCCATAGCCCACCAAATCGCAGCCAACTCTGACAAGACCCCATGGTGCAAAATGCAGCCCACAGCCCCGCCCAACCCAGAAACGGTCGCTGTGGGTGCCTGGTAATGACATCACATAGCAACGCCCAGTTTCCCCTCCCTAGCAGCAACTAGCCCCCTTGCACTTTTTTCAGCCCAGGAACACAGGTGGAAACACTTTACACTGTAACCACATGTCTGTGAAGCGTGTTCCCGTGCCTCATCTCATTTGATCCTCACAGAAGTCCTGGAGTAGGTAGATAGGAGACTCAGTGGAATCCTATTTTCTTTTCATTAGCCGGAAAGTGGAGATTTAGAAAGCTTAGAAACTTGACCCGACTGAAAAGAAGAAAGAAATGGTGGACCTTGAAAATAACTTCAGGTTTTCTGACTGCGCAGAATATAGTCAAACACTGCTGCAGTTAAATATTTTACCCTTTGATTTCCCTGCGTGATCTACAATAATAATCCGCTTCGTGTTGATAGTTACTGCTGTGTTGCTGACAATTACCTGAACGAGAAGCTGGGTTGCTTCATTGGGCTGGAAAAAGTTTAGCTAAATCAGAAAGCAGGTCTAACTAGGCAAGTTTATTCTATGTTTATAAAAGGCGAAGTTGGCTCACACATGCGCGATGCATATAAAGCTCTCGCTGTAGTCAATCGCACGCGTGTGTTTCCATCTGTCATTGTTGATCGTGAATTTGGTTGACACTTACAGAGAAAGGGCAAATAGCAATATTAAAATATTTCTTCTAATCAATTTCCTTTCATGCACCGGGCCACTAGTAATATATAACCCTCCATGTATTTAGATTCTTTTACATGTCTACCAATAAAGTTTTGTAATTTTTTCATACGGATGCCTGGACATCTTTTAAAAAATGTATTTTTTTTTTATTGATTTCAGAGAGGAAGGGGGAGGGAGAGAGATAGAAACATCAATGATGAGAGAGAGTCATTGATCTGCCACCTCCTGCAGACCTCCTACTGGGGACCAAGCACACAACCTGGGCATGTGCCCTTGACAGAAATCAAACCTGGGACCCTTCAGTTCACAGGCCGATGCTCTATCCACCAAGCCAAACTGGCTAGGCGTGGACATTTTTATTAGACTTATTTCTAGGTACTTTTGTATTTTTATTGCTATTATAGTCAAGTTTTTAAAATTGCATTTTCTAACCAGAACTTCTTGTTGTATATAATGCAATTTTCTTTTGAATGTTGATTTTTATATCCAGCAACCTTATAACATCCTTATATTAAATTCTAATAATTTACTTATATATTCTCCTGGAATTTTTATAAATCATATAGCCTAAAAATATTTTTTCCCAACAAGTATGTCTTTTATTCCTTTTATTCTATACTGCATGGCTGGCCCACAGTGTATCTAGAAGGATTATATAGCAGGCCTTCTTGTTTTATTTCTGATCTGAAAGGGAGGCTGTCATCATTTCATTATTTTGTATAATATTTGTTACAGGTTACAAGTTAAGGAAATTGCCTTTTATTCCAGTTAGCGGTAAATATTTCTTATGAATTGGCGTTGAAATTTATTTAAAGGTTTTTTTCTTTGTTTCCACTTAAAAGTTAATATGGCTTTTCTCCTTTACTGTGTCTATTGGGGGAATAATAATCACTAATATTTCTATTTTAAAATATATTTTATTGATTTTTTACAGAGAGGAAGGGAGAGGGATAGAGAGTTAGAAACATTGATGAGAGAGAAACATCAATCAGCTGCCTCCTGCACACCTCCTACTGGGGATGTGCCCGCAACCAAGGTACATGCTCTTGACCGGAATTGAACCTGGGACACTTGAGTCTGCAGGCTGACACTCTATCCACTGAGCCAAACTGGTTAGGGCTTCTATTTTAAACTGACCCTGTATTTCTAGAGTAATCCAATTTAGTATTGATGAATTCCCTTTCATATATATTGACAGATTTTGTTTGCTAATATTTTTTAATATATTTAAAGACAGGGTTTAATGTAGAAAACATCAAGATGGTAATAGAAGATTCTATACTCCCATGTTTGCTAATATTTTGTTTAGTGTTGTGTGTGTGTGTGTGTGTGTGTGTGTGTGTGTGTGTGTGTGTGTGAATATTCAGGAGTGGGGTTGGGGGTTGGCCTGTGATTTTTCTCCCCTCAGGCCATCCTTTTCTACTTTTGGTAGCAAGACTATGCTGGACTCGTCACTTAAGTTATTAGTCATTTTTTTTTCTTTCCTCTAAGAGATTTTGTGTAAGATTGGAAATGTATATTCCTTGAGTATTTGATGGAAACTTGCATAGAAATCCACTTGAATCTGGATTCTTTTGTGGTGAGAGGATGTGGAAAATTTCCTACTTTAATGCCTAGTGTGCTAGTTTGGAATTTTTATTCTTGTAAAGTCCATTTTCACCAGTAGTATTTTTCTGGAAATTTACTGTGTCTAGCAATTTTAGTATAAATTTCAATGTCATAAAGTTGTCTATAATGTCCTCTTATTTTTGTTTAACCTCTGAGATCGGTGCAGTGATTCATGTCTTACCTTTGTAATATTTTTATTTGTGTCTCCCTTTTGTTTCCTTGTTCTTCTTCCTAGGGGTATTGCTATCTCATTATCCTTTTCAGAGAAACATCCTTTGGCTCTGTTGAGCTTTTCTGTTGCTGCAGATGTGAAATGATGATGTCAGATTTTAAAAGAAGATTAGTTATGCATCTTGGCTATGTGAATGTGCATTGTTGTTAAGGAAGCATGCATATTCAGGCCCCTCAGCCTTTGTGAAGACACATGAGAGTCATAATTATATTTATTTTTAGACATATGTAGCTTTTGGGGGGGGGAGAGAGAAACTTTGATTTGTTATTCCACTTATTTATGCATTTGTTGGTTGATTTTTTATTTTACTTTATATTGTTGACACTATTAAAGTTTTCCCCATTTCCCTCCCTTTTGCCTACCTCCACCCAGCTCCCACCCTTCCCTCTGGCCATCACACACTATTGTCTGTGTCTATGGGTTGTTTCTTGGATGTGCCCTTGACCAGAAATCAAACCCACAACTTTGGCGTATCGGGATGACACTCTAACCAACTGAGCTACTCAGCCACAGGCAGATGTGGCTTTTATTACATTTAGCTCATAATAATTTATTTCTATTGGGATATAAAGGGAATATTCTAAGATTTAGTTATGTATATTGAAAGTAAAGTATTCAAACTAATATTTAGCATGCTGTTTACTAACATATGATTCCTCTTTTTCCCAACAGTCCTTTCCATCAGAATTTAACCCAGGTAAATTTTCTTTTTTAAATTTTATACATCCTTCATATGTCACTACTATGCTATTTCTCTCTTATCTTCCATAATTACCAGAAGAGGAATTTTCCAAACTAATTTTTCAACAAAATGTGCGTAGAGCATGGTACTGAGGTATGGTTTGAGGATCCTTAGGGTGCAGGCCTTCTAAGGAGGTCTACCCTTTTCCAACTTCATATCTGCATGAGGACAGATTCTCCCAATATGCTTTCACCAGAACAACACATATGCAGCTTGATGCAGGAACATAGAGGAAAATCCAGCTATTCTATGAAGCAAGATATTAAAAAGATTTTGTAATGTAAAACAACCATTCTTCTTACTATTTTTTTGTTTGGAAAATAGTTATTTTTTTCATAAAAACATGTTGGTTATGTTAACATGTAAATATGTTTATCTTAATTTTAAAAAAATTAATAAATATTTTTAATTTGTTATATCATACATATTGATAAACGTAACCCACATAAGACAAAAGCTTTATGGAATGCTCAATAATTTTTAAGACAATAAATGTCTTGAGTTCAAAGGTCTTTAACATATGGATGAGAGGATGATTATATATGATAGATATGGTCAAAATATTTAAATTGAAATCAGGTGATAATATTTGGAAGTTAAAGCACTATAGATATTTTAATTTTCTAAAAGCAGTGATTTACTAGAAAAAGATGCAGTAAAAATAATAATAATAAACAAGCTTCCTATATCGCATCCAGATGGTTGATGTGTCTGTTTATACTCCTGTCCGAAATCCAATTCACATCATGCAATGTTTTATTATGGTTATAACTCTTGCATGAAAAAGCAAGAGAGAGTATTATTTGTGAATAAGGAATTTAAATATAGAAAATAGAGAGAAACTTCTAGAAGTAGAATACATATTACACGCCAAAATAATGCAGAATAACCTCCACCTCACTCAAAACACACAGAAATGCCTTTTAGAAAATATTATGTCTGGCCCAGCCAGTGTAGCTCAGTGGTTGACCGTAAACCCAGGAACCAGGAGATCATGGTTCGATTCCCAGTAAGGGGGCATGCGGAAGGCAGCCAATCAATGATTCTCTCTCATCATTGATGTTTCTCTCCCTTTCCCTTCCTCTTTCTGAAATCAATAAAAACATTTTTTTAAAAAGAAAATATGTTTACATACTGCTAGTACCGCCTTTTACATTCATACAGGTACGTGTGTGTGTATAGAATTTAAAAACAAGTAAAGGAGTTTTCTATTGGTCAGAAATAATTAAAGAATTAAAAGCCAAAGATATAAGATTGAATTCTGAGCTAAGGGTATTAGACACAATATAATCCCTAGTAGACTGGGGTGATGTTTCTGCAGCTGAAAAGTGAAGATTCCAACCCGTGGGAGAGGGAGGAGCTGAAACCATTCTCCCCACATGGTGCTAGAATTTATAAACAAGAAAGAAAAGAATCAGACCTACAGCTAGTGAGGTGGCCATGGTGTATCAAGTGGCAAAAGCAAGCTACAAATAACCTGTGTAGTGTGACTTCATCTTTGTAACGTGTGTGTGAGTGTGTGGGGTGGGGCGCTGTGTCTATTTGTGAGTTCAGAGAAAGATAGATAAGCATTCCTATGAAGTTTTAAAATTACCTCAGGTGTTTAGAGGAATATTATTAACTCTTCCTTCGTATGTCTTTGAGTTGTTTCACTTACTTAAAAACAACACATAATGCTTTGATTTTTTAAAAAACATGAGATCATCAAAGTTTTTAAAATATATAAACATTTTTATGGTTATGTTTTGCTACAACTAAAAATGAAATTTGTCCAAAATTAAAGAAATGCAAACATTTTGTTTTGTAGCTTATCAAGATATGGATATACGATCCAGAAAATGCTGACCCAGATGAGTTGCTATGGAATGCAGTTGGGCCATCACTAGTAGGTGGAAACATTATCCTAGATAAAATAATATGCTACATTTCTTTTTTAAGGGCTGTGAAGAATTTATTTTAAGTGGCCCAGAACTACTAAATACATTTTAATTATCCACTAAGTTGAGTTTATGCTCTATCTCTATAATTATAAATTTTCCTTTAGAATTCTTTTCTGAGCATTTTTTTGCAATTTCTGTGCACCTCATTATTAATGAAGAAGCTGATCTTTAAAGTGCTTTATAGGTGTTCATTGAGCATCTATCTTGAAGTCATCTTTCAAAAACCTGTTCAGTCTCTTATTGAGTCAGAGATGGGTTTGGTTCAAAATGCGTTAAAAATTGGGCATTATTTACAGTTCAGTCAGAGATGTTTATGGAAGAGAAAGAAGAATGAAGAGTCAGGGATAGTTAGGACTTGGGTGTCTCTTAGGCACATTACACATTGGCTGATGAAAACCCAAACAGACAATTTACATTTTGCCAGAATTATTTTGTGGATGATTTATCAAAATTGTAGCATTAAAACAATTCCCTCAAACTACTCATGTGAAAACATCCTGATTTGATCATGGCAGGCATCTTGGAGGCAGATACCTGACTTGAAACCTACAGTGTGAGTAGAGAAGAAAGGATATGAGCAGTTGCATAAGCAGAGACACAAAGGCAGATATTTATGTTACAACTAGAAAAATACTTTAAAAAATAATAATGCAAAAGTTGACACTAGCATAGTGAAATTTATTCTCTTATACATTACTAATAATGAAGTAAATTGTCATAGTCCTTTTAGAAATCATTTTGATAATATGTAGTATTCATAATTTTTTACCTAGTAATCACACTTCCAAGAATCTAATCAAAAGAGAAATAGTCTTGCCTGGCTGGCATGGCTCAGTGGTTGAGCGTTGACCTATGAACCAGGAGGTCAGGTCACGGTTTGATTCCCAGTCAGGGCACATGCCTGGGTTTCGGGCTCGATCCCCAGTAGGGGGCATTCAGGAGGCAGCCAATCAATGATTCTCTCGCATCATTGATGATTCTCTCTCTCTCTCTTTCTCTCTCTCTCCTCCTCCTCCTCCTCCTCCTCCTCTCGCTTCCTCTCTGAAAAAAAAAATATGTATATATACATTCAAAGAGAAATAGTCTTAACTATGGAAAAGACTGTATATCTGATGGTGTTCATGGCAATAATATTAGCAATAGTGAAAAAATAAAACTATCTAAATGTCCAATAGGGGATTGTTAAGTCAATGATAATAATTCACTCAGTGGAATATCATGCTATCATTTATATAGACTTCTGTTTATATAACATGAATATATACCAGTAGCCTACATTTGATAAATCCTAAGAAAATATACTCAATGTGTTTTTATATTTTTGATAATTTCTATGTGGTAATTTTTCTATATTTATAAAATTACCTTTAATGACCATGAACCACCCTTTTAGTGAAAAATGTTTTTAAGTCTGTGGATATGACTGTCCTAACTTTTTCTTGCCCTGTCCCTTTTTCTATCATCTTGTTGTGTGTGTTGCTTATAATATTTTATTTCCATCTAATCCAAGCTACATTAAGAATCTCTCATTTACTCTTTGCCTTTACCGTTATATGAAAGATAGTTACGTTTAAAATTCTGAATAGTGAATACGATTTTCAGAAACAAAAGAAAAATATATACTATTCTTTATTTACCAGGCAAACCTATATTTCTCTATCAAAATCATTAAATGTGTGTTCCTCAAGGAGGCCTTCCCTGACCACCATACCTACTCTTCAAAAATAGGTTGAATCCTCCTATTGGCTGACCCTATAGTCCAGTGGTTCTCAACCTTCTGGCCCTTTAAATACAGTTCCTCATGTTGTGACCCAACCATAAAATTATTTTCGTTGCTACTTCATCACTGTAATGTTGCTACTGTTTTGAATCGTCATGTAAATATCTGATATGCAGGATGGTCTTAGGTGACCCCTGTGAAAGGGTCGTTCGACCGCCAAAGGGGTCGCTATCCACAGGTTGAGAACCTCTGCATAGTCCCAATGACGACACCCTTACTGACGCTCATCATGGCAACCTCAAAGGCTCCTTTGTAGGTGGTTAACATATTTCTAGAAAATCAAACAGGAGCATTATTGGAGGATTAGGGCAGAAGGGAGCTATGGAATTCTAGACTGACCCTCATCTGATTTTTTACTTCTAGTGATTCCCCATAATAACACTATTGTCTCTATTCTAAAAATGCCTTATTAGGGATAATTCCAGTCAATTCAACTGCTCCTTAAATCTCCGAGAAAAAGAGGGAGCATTTCATATCTGTCTATTACGAAGAGAATGTTTGTTAAACTCTCCAGATATCATTTGAAACCTGCCTTCAAAGAGTATGTTGCTTTGGAGGTGACTCATGTAGAAATAATTCTAACAGATTAGTTTTAGAAGCTCCATTATGTATCCCATTGATAGTAAAATTAAGGGTATTTATTTAGGGGTCCTCATAGTCTCAATTCATTCAGTATTCTGATTGCGCATGGTATATTCAACATATTATGGTTTCATTATAATTCATAAAATTCTAATGGGGAAGGGGACCAAATGGTAGAAAAAAAGAAACCGGCACATTGAAAATGAGGTAAATTTATAAAGTGTCTTAACTAAAATAATCAATGCAGTATAACATGATGTAATTTCCAAGTAAATTTGGCTGTGAAAAGAGTAAAAATAATTTTTTTTTCCAGAATTCCTTTGTACTTACAAAGCAGTTTGCCACTTTGGGACAGAAGCCAGCCATACATACATTTCTGAAGAAAAGAATATATCATGCAGATGAAAAACTGGAGGATGGGTATTTAATTTTTAAAATTTCAAATATAAAATTCATCTGTAAAATTAGTAAAATAAGTATCAGAGACTTAAAGCAAAAGGGATTTTAAAACCCTGGTAAAATTTCATGGAATATCTGATGTGTAACTTCCAAGTAGATTATTTTATGATACAAAAAATAAAAAAAAAGTGATAGTGAGAACTAGTTACCAACTCAGAAAATGCCAGTCACACTCCTGGATTCTATTCTCACAATTTGTATTAAGAGCTAAACCTTCAGGATAGTGGCACATCCTGGCAATACCTTAAAATGTTTCCTACCGATGTCACAGTTGTGCCACCACCTACACGTAACTGCGCATCACAAATTCCACTTGAGAAGTAAAATCTGTTACTGTTAAGTTGGCAAGTTATCATGAGCCTTTCTTAATCTGTTGTACCACCTAGGCACAGGTCAAGGAGCTTATAACTAAAAAATACAATATGTACTTCTAATATGATGTTGAATAGGTGTAGTAAGAAGAGCCATTTTGCTCTGTCCCTGTTATTAGGAGGAGAAGATACAGTTTCTCATCATTATGTTCTTGGTATGTTTTTTTGTAGATGCTTCTTAATCAAGTTGAGGAAGTTCCCCTCTGTTGCTAGTTTGCTGAGAGTTTTTATCATGAATGAGTGGTGGATTTTGTCAAATGCTTTTTATGCCATTTATTGATATGATTATATGCTTTTTCTTCCTTGAGGTGATAGATTACATTAGTTGATTTTTAAATGTTGAACCATATGTGCATAACTGGAATAAGTCCCATTTGGTCACCATACATAATTATTTTTACACATTGTTGGATTCACAATGTCTGTAGCTTTATCGGTGATGTGTTTACCTGATTGTGGTATTAGGGTAATATTGGCCTCATAAAATGAGTTGGGAAATATTCCCCCTGCTTCTATTTTCGGGAAGAGATTGTAGAGAATTGGCATAACTTGTTCCTTAAATGTTAGAATTTACCAGTGAACCCATCTGGGCCTGCTGCTTTTTTTTTTGGAAGGTTATTAATTATTTATCAATTTTCTTTAATAGATATATCCCTGTTCACATGATCTATTTCTCCTTATATGATTTTGATAGATTGTCTTTCAATTGGTCCATTTCCTCTAAGTTGTCAAATTTATGGGCATAGAACTGTTAATAGTATTATTTTCTTATCCTTTAATGCCCATGAAATCAATAATGATGGCCTTGCTTTCATCTGTGATCTTAGTAAATTATGTCCTTTCTCTTTTTTTCTTAGCTCAACTGGAAAGTTTACCAATTTTATTGAACTTTACAAAGAACCAGCTTTACTTTTTTTTTCTTTTTTTTAAAATTTTTTTTATTGCTTAAAGTATTGCAAAGGGTATTACCCCCCCCCCCCTTGACAATCCCCTGGCCTCCCCTACCCCCCAGTGTCTTATGTCCATTGGTTATGCTTATATGCATGCATACAAGTCCTTTGATTCATCTCTTACCCCCCTCCCTCCTGCCCCCCAACCCTCCCCGGCCTTCCCGCTGCAGTTTGACAATCTGTTTGAGGCAGCTGTGCCTCTGTATCTATTATTGTTCAAAAGTTTATAATGGTCTCTATTATCCATGAATGAGTGAGATCATGTGGTATTTTTCCTTCATTGACTGGCTTGTTTCACTTAGCATAATGCTCTCCAGTTCCATCCATGCCGTTGCAAATGGTAAGAGTTCCTTCTTTTTTACAGCAGCATAGTATTCCATCATGTAGATGTACCACAGTTTTCTAATCCATTCATCTACTGATGGGCACTTAGGCTGTTTCCAGATCTTAGCTATGGTGAATTGTGCTGCTATGAACATAGGGGTGCATATAATCTTTCTGATTGGTGTTTCTGTTTTCTTGGGATATATTCCTAGATGTGGGATCACAGGGTCAAATGGGAGTTCCATTTTTAGTTTTTTGAGGAAACTCCATACTGTCTTCCATAGTGGCTGCACCAGTCTGCATTCCCACCAGCAGTGCACGAGTAGAACCAGCTTTTCTTATTGATTTTCTCCATTGTTTTTGTTTTCCATTTATTCATTTGTGTTCTAATTTTTATTATTTTTCTTCTTCTACCTTTAGGTTTATAATGCTTTTCTTTCTCTAGTTCCCTAAGATGAAAACTTAGATTATTTATTTTAGATTTTTTTCTTTTCTAATACATGCATTTGATGCTCTAAATTTCCCTCTAAGCACTGCTATCACTACATTCCCCAAATTTTGGTAAGTTGTATTTTCATTTAGTTTGAACTACTTAAAATTTCACTTGAGATTTCTTTCTTAACTGCGTGTTATTTTAAAGTGTACTGTTTAATCTCCAAATGCTTAGGGATTTTTATAGCTATATTTCTGTTATTGACTTCTAGTTTAACTGTATTGTGTTTTGAGAGCTGACTTTGTATAATTTCTACTTTTTAAATATGTTTTTATTGATTTTTAGAGAGAGAGGAAGGTAGAGGGAGAGGGAGATAGAAGTATCGATGAGTGAGAAAAAAATCGTCTCGCTGCCTCCTGCATGCCCCATACTGGGGAATAAGCCAGCAACCCGGGCATGTGCCCTGACTAGGAATTGAACCAATGACCTCTTGGTGCATGGGACCATGCTCAGTCCACTGAACCACACCAGCTGGCTGACTTCTATTTTGTAAAATTTCTTAAGGTGTGTTTTATGACCCAGGATATGGTCTATCTTGGTGAATGTCATATGTGGACTTGAGAAGAATGTATATTTTGCTGTTGTTGAATGAAGTAGTCTTTAAACCAATTAGATCAGTTGGTTGATGGTGTTGTTCCTTCAACTATGTCTTTACTGATTTTCTGCCTTCTAGATCTGTCCATTACTGACAGAGGGATTTGGAAGTCGCTATACTAGTGGATTTTTCTTGCCTTCTCTATGATTTAGTAAGACATACATTTGACAAAACTAGTTTTTAAAAGCACAGGAATGTGGACACAAATGGAAACACAAAATAGGCCTGTAACAGGTAGAGAAGGGGGAGGGAGAGACATACATTAACTTTCCAAGGTATTGGAATGTTGTGAATCTGGATCTGGGTGACTACTACACAGGTAGGTGTTCACCTTAGTATGAGATTATTATAGCCAGCGGACAATGTAACAAAATGGTACTGGTGATTTTTTTGTAATTGTACTTGAAACAGATGTTAGAGTCAGTGGTGTGGTTTGTAAAAATCAGAGTTGCACTGATTTTCATGGTGGCGTGGCTTAGGACATAGAGGATTGATGACAACCCTACAATTACTCCAACATGGGGCCCTCTTGACCTGGCAGGACCTCATTCTGAGTGGGCAGAATGCCATCACCACCAACCCAAGTGTGTGTTCATTGAGGAAATAGGAAACTAAAGAAGCATTTACTGACCATCTGCAGCCTGATGTGTCTGGGTGGGCCTGCTGAGAAACACTCCTCAGAACTCTCCTTGACTTCAAAGATATATGTCCGAGTGCTTGTTTTCACGAATTCCTCGTGTGTCCACTTCAAAAGATAAGACCCAGCCCTGTCAAATTTTAGAATACCAAGAAAAGAAGGGAAGCCCCTAAAAACGTATGGAAAGGCAGGCCATTTAAGTCACAAGGATCAAGGTGTCATTCTCATTAGTAACCCTAAATACAAACAGACTGGAGAAAAGGCCATCCAAGCTCTGAAGTCTCTGCCCAGACAAATTATCAAACAAATGTGTTAAAGATATTTTTGGATTTCAGGATCTCAAACACTTTATTTTCAGGTGCACTTTGACAAAGAGTACTTACTGAAGAATATGTGTTAGCAAAACAAGATCAAAGTATTGGACCCAGTAAATGGTGCTTCAACCCAGAGAGAAATGAAGGGAAATCCCAGCAAACAAGTGCTAGATTACCGCTGCATTCACCACATGGAAACCATTATGAAGGGCCATTTCAGCTAGCTATTAGAAAAGTTAGAACACTAAACAAATTTTCTTTTTTTTTTTTTAAATATATTTTGTTGATTTTTTACAGAGAGGAAGGGAAAGGGATAGAGAGTTAGAAACATCGATGAGAGAGAAACATCGGTCAGCTGCCTCCTGCACACCTCCTGCTGCAGATGTGCCTGCAACCAAGGTACATGCCCTTGACCGGAATCGAACCTGGGACCCTTCAGTCCGCAGGCCGACGCTCTATCCACTGAGCCAAACCGGTCAGGGCACTACTAAACAAATTTTCAAAATAAAATGTTAACTCTAGGGAAAATATTGTAAATATACATTTATCAAAGAAAACAATTAGCATAATAACTGGCTCCGTAGTAAACAATATATACATATTAATAACAATATAAACACTATAGATTTAGCTAAACATTGTGACATTTGAAAGAAAAGATGATGCATCAGTAGGTATACACTATGAGAGATACTGTTTCATCTGTCATATAAGAAACCAATATGTAAAAATCATATTAAGAAGCAGTATAAGGATATTTATTTGAGAATATGAAGGAGCATTAAGACTCAAGATTGTTCTCCTTCACCAAGCCAGTGTTGCTCGGTGGTTGAGCGTCAGCCTATGAACCAGGAGATCATGGTTTTATTCCTGGTCAAGGCACATGCCCAGGTTGTGGGCTCGATTGCCAGTAGGGGGCGTGCAGAAGGCAGCTGATTGACAGTTCTCTCTCATCCTGGATGTTTCTAGCTCTACCCCTTCCTTCCTCTCTGATATCAATAAAAAACATTTATTTTTTTTAAAAAAAAGATTGTTCTCCTTTGGAAACAAGAGTGAAGAACAAGGAGAAATGGGTAGCATTTTAGTACTATTTGATTTATGTTACTCAGGTTTATCTTTTTTTTTAATTAAATCTTTATTGTTCAGATTATTACATTTGTTCCTCTTTTTTCCCCCCATAGCTCCCCTCCTCCCAGTTCCCACCCCACCCTCCGCCCTCACTCCCCACCCACTGTCCTCATCCATAGGTGCACGATTTTTGTCCAGTCTCTTCCTGCATCTAACACACCCCTTTCCCCCCCCCCAAGAATAGTCAGTCCATTCCCTTTCTATGTCCCTGATTCTATTATAATCACCAGTTCATTCTGTTCATCAGATTATTTGGTCACTTGATTCTTAGATTCACTTGTTGATAGATGCATGTTTGTTGTTCATAATTTGTATCTTTACCTTTTTCTTCTTCTTCCTCTTCTTACAGGATACCTTTCAGCATTTCATATAACACTGGTTTGGTGGTGATGAACTCCTTTAGCTTTTTCTTATCTGTGAAGCTCTTTATCTGACCTTCAATTCTGAATGATAGCTTTGTTGGATAAAGTAATCTTGGTTGTAGGTTCTTAGTATTCATCACTTTGAATATTTCTTGCCATTCCCTTCAGGCCAGCAAAGTTTCTGTTGAGAAATCAGCTGACAGTCGTATGGGTATTCCCTTGTAGGTAACTGAGTTTCTTTCTCTTGCTGCTTTTAAGATTCTCTCTTTGTCTTTTGCTCTTGGCATTTTAATTATGATGTGTCTTGGTGTGGTCCTCTTTGGATTCCTTTTGTTTGGGGTTCTCCGCGCTTCCTGGACCTGTAAGTGTATTTCTTTCACCAGGTGGGGGAAGTTTTCTGTCATTATTTCTTCAAATAGGTTTTCAATATCTTGCTGTCTCTCATCTTCTGGCACCCCTATAATTCTGATGTTGGAGCGCTTGAATCTGTCCCAGAGGCTCCTTACACTATCTTCGTATTTTCGGATTCTTTTTTCATTTTGCTTTTCCAGTTGGGTGTTTTTTGCTTCTTTGCATTTCAAATCTTTGACTTGATTCTTGCGCTCCTCTGGTCTGCTGTCGGGTTTCTTTATAATATTCTTTATTTTAGTCAGTGTATGCTTAATTTCTAGTTGGTTCTTTATCACAACATCTAGGGTCTCACTAGATTTCTAGACGATCTCACTACATTTATCGGCGGTTTCTAGAAAATGATTGAAAGACCTTAAAAGTGCGTTTTTTAGCTCTATATCCTCCATTTCTGTCATGTTTCTTTGTCTCCGCATTTTTTAAGCTTTCTTGGTGCACCCCCTTGTGGTCTTTGTGCGGAGTCTTGTTGTAGTTAAGCCTTGATTGTTGTAGGCAATACTGGGGGTGATTTGCCCTCCAGGCTAACTGGCTATGAGAGTCAGCTGTGTCTGCAGTGGGAGAGCTTCTGTGCTGGATCTCTAGGGCAGTGCTAATCTAGCGTTTGCCTAAGGCTACCCGGCAAATGCCTCTGTGCAGGCCTTGGGCGGGGCGGGTCCCTGAGGATCTACAGGGCGGGTGGAGCGAGCAGTTATGACTGCTCTCTGTTCCATCCCCAGGGGCTCTGCCACTCAGAGTCTCAGCATCTGCTGCAAACCTCGGAGAGAAGGCTGCCTTCGATTTTTGACCGAAGCCAGACAGTCCCGCTTCTCCCGTTTGAGTCTGGGTCCCTAGAGACTCGCCCGGATCTGGAGATCAGAGTCTGAAACTCCCTCCCGATTGAAAACAACAACCGTGCCCTCCGCCACGAGCCCGCTTCACATGCACTCCGCACCTTAGTATTTCACTTCAGCACTGTGCCTCCTCTGAGTCTCAGTATGTTATTCTCTTTCCTCCTAGTTGTAGAACTTCCATTCAGCCAGCCTTCCTGTGGTTCTGGATGATGTCCGTTCCGTCTTTTAGTTGTATTTTTGAAGTGGTTGTTCGAGGCAGCAAACTCCAGCGTTAACCTATGCCGCCATCTTGGTTCCTCGAGGCCCATTCCCCAGGTTTATCTTGATAAAAAAATTTTTAAAGTTTTAAAGATGATAAATGCCAGCACTTTGCAAGATTGATGGGAGCTGAGAAAGAGACCATATAATTCTTATCCTTTCTGTTCTCTTCTTAGGGCCTGGCATATCTCAATACCAATGTCAGCAAATGATATAATAAAAGAGATCAGAGGAAATCAGGTGACTTTTCAAGATTGCTTTGTTGCAAACATCCTTTTCCTGCTGGGCTTTACTTGGTTCACAATACCTGAGGTTCCTGGCTTTTTACCAATCTCTTCACCACTTGGTAGTCAGTTAATGATAGCCTGGGATACCTGTGCTCCAGCATCTATTGTTCTGGTAGCCGATATGGAGACCTTTCAAACCAACGATTCATTTCGTACTTGGACCAGAATCAGAGTGCCTCCAAACATCCTGACTGACGAAGAAAGAAGCAATGTGTCTGATGTGAACCTATCCCGTGATGGGATATTTTTTTTAATAAATGGTATCCTCTATCTAAAAAGTGTGACCAGATTTGCAAAACTGGGAAGCAAGGAAAATCTTCCTGAAGGTGAAATTATTGGCATTAAAACAAGAAAATGGTGTTGGCACAGCTATTTAGCGAAGGTTAGTAAAATACTACATATATGTATTTATACTTACACATTTAGATATTCACCATACCTTTTAATTCAATGAAATATTAGTCTATACTCTGCAGGTTTTTTTTGCTGAGTTATTTTACATGGCTGTCAATAGCTCTATCTTCCTGACTTAACTTCTCAGAGCCCTTACAGAGCTATACCTCTGACAACAGAGAATAAAATGGTCTTGTGTCATTGCGCAGTGTCACTTAGTCATATCATGAGAGTTTTGTTTTGTCTTGTCACGGGCAAAAGGTCAAAAAGTTATTTTCCCCAAACAAAAACTCCATGTGCTCTCAAAAATGAATTAACTCTTTAATTTCTGACAATAGAGTGAATAAGATATCCTTAAGCTAGAGCATTACAAAACACCTGAAATGCTGCATAGAAATTTTTAAACTTCTTTAGGCACATAACTGGGCTTCTGTGGAAGTAAGGACAATTCCAAGAGGAAAGTGGAGTCCTGGAGCACTAATTCAGAGACATAAGCAAATGCCAAAATCTCGCCTCCCGAGGCCGGTGCTGGTCCCAAGCATTTAGACATTTGGTCCTTAGAAACAAAGCCTGGTACCTGAGCAAGGGAGGGCATCTGGTAATTTTTTGCATTAAATAGGAACCTTCCAAAATGTCCCAACATAATTAAATGTATCTCAGTTTTAACTCTTAAAAGGCCAGAAAATGTCTGTCTTTGGAATTCATGACCAAAAACCAACCCCCATGGACTTTGGGGCCCAAATTAACAGTGGGCCAAGAAATATCAAGCCTAGTGCCAGGCAGAAGCAAACACAAATCCTTTCTGGAGGGACAAACCATAAGGTCAGGCTTTGGAAATTTTTTTAAAAATATATTTTATTGATTTTTTACAGAGAGGAAGGGAGAGAGATAGAGAGTTAGAAACATCGATGAGAGAGAAACATCGATCAGCTGCCTCCTGCACATCTCCTACTGGGGATGTGCCCGCAACCCAGGTACATGCCCTTGACCGGAATCGAACCTGGGACCTTTCAGTCCGCAGGCTGACGCTCTATCCACTGAGCCAAACCGGTTTCGGCTGGCTTTGGAAATTTTCCACAAATAATATTCTGGCAAAATTGAGCTCATATTCAAAAATGGCAAAATATCTGAAGAAATAAGATGTCACAGGAGTCAGCAGAAACAATAAAGAGCAGAGTCAACCCTGCAAGGACATCAGATATTGGGACAGTCAAATATGAAATATTTTTACTGGATTTAAATAAATTGAAAGGAAAATAGAAAACATTTTTTTAAAAGTCTATCAAATAGCAAGGCAATGAGTAATACTAAAAGCAAGGAATTCATTACCGTAAAATTTAGGATAGTGGTTATCCTGAAAGGAAAGATGTAGTGATTGGGAAACAATATCAGTGGCATTTGGGAGTTCTGACAAGATTCCATTTGTTAGATTCTGCTTTGTGATAAATCTTTTAGCTACATATAGTTCCATTTGGTCCATTTTCTGTATGTGAATTCTATTTCAAAATATATTAATATGTAAAAATAAATGTTGAAATATAACATTTCATGTAATAAACTTAGATAAAACTAATAACTGAAATATAAAATTCAATGGAAAGCTTAAATAGGAGATTGCATATAACAAAAATAATTAAATTGTAAATGAGATAAGAAATTAAAATGAAAAGATGAGAGAAAAAGGGATGGAAAACAAACAAAAAAAGAGAGTAGAAGAGAAAGATGAATGAAAAAGAGGAAATCCAGTATACATCTAACCAGAATTCCAAAATAAAAGTTTAGATAGAATGGGAAAGAGCTGAGAATTTTTCAGAGTTAAATAAAGATATCAATAGTCATCCTGAAATACTAATAAATTCTGATTGATAGAGGAAAAAAGAAAGCCCACTGAGACACAAAATAATATTGCACAGTATCAGAAACTAATAAGAGATACCAAAAATATTCAAACAGGAAATACAAATTATAAACAAAGAATACAACAATTAGATGATACGAATGGAAATCAGAAGATTGTGAAATACTTAAATAACTGAGGTAAAGTTCTTGTTGGCCCTCAGGGTGGGGCCAAAGTAGGCTTATAGTTGTTTGTATGGAAAAGATACAATAATTAATGAATAATACAAGAATAAACTCTATGTTTTGCATACTCGCAGCTATAAACCTAATTTTGCCCCCCCCCCCCGTATTTATCCCGTTGAGGTTCAACTGAGCTTCTTGGATTTGGGGGATTATGTGCTTTACTAATTTGGGGATGTCAGAGCAGGATCTAATTCTAGTGGGAGAGCTTGCTCCTAAATCGTGCTCATAGCACTAATTGTGAGAGCACTCACTGCTCTATTCTGCTGACTAGTCCAAGTGTGGGAGTACAGGTCCTGATCCTGCCCTACTATGCTAACTGTTGGGTCCGAGCCCCCCTGTTCCTGGGTGGACCTTCTTGGACGCAGGGTAGTAGACAGAGAAGCCATGAGAAGTTGTTGGTGTATAAGAATGAGTCTCTATTACAGAAGCTAGTGGCCATAAAACCATTAGACAAAACAGTTCTTCAGAACAGTCTCATACAGGCAGCCACACACCAGCTGATGAACAAATGCATCTTTCTCACTTAGTAGCAGTAGCCTCTGTACTCACAACTACTATCTGAGCAGCTGCATGCTGCCTCTAGACCAGCGGTTCTCATCCTGTGGGTTGCGATCCCTTTTGGGGTCGAATGACCCTTTCACAGGGGTTGCCTAAGGCCATCTGAAAACACATATATAATTACATATTGTTTTTGTGATTAATCACTATGCTTTCATTATGTTCAATTTGCAACAATGAAAATACATCCTGCATATCAGATATTTACATGGCGATTCATAACAGTAGCAAAATTAGTTATGAAGTAGCAACGAAAATAATTTTATGGTTGGGGGTCACCACAACATGAGGAACTGTATTAAAGGGTCGCGGCATTAGGAAGGTTGAGAACCGCTGCTCTAGACCCATAGCCTCACATAGTAGCGGCACCTGAGCTCTCCCCTAAGCAGCCTCAGTAGCCTCTCTAGTCTCTCCAGTCTTTTCCACACACTAGCTGGTCAGTAATGTATTATATCACTTAGACAAAAAGAGGCCTCTTGCCAACAGTGATACCAATCATTTGGGTTGTAGAAGGGCACAGTCTTTGGACACCCTGATTAAGATTCCCATGCTCAGAGTGGCCTTGGCCATCTGGCATACTGTAAATAGGGCCTTTCACACTCTAATTGGCCTTGACTATCTGGCAACTCTGGCATGGTTGCCACAGATGTTCTTGGACATTAGCTCTTCCAATGTTTCTTTTTTTTTAAATTAAATCTTTATTGTTCAGATTATTACATTTGTTCCTCTTTTTTCCCCCCATAACTCCCCTCTCAGTTCCCACCCCACCCTCCGCCCTCACTCCCCACCCACTGTCCTCATCCATAGGTGCACGATTTTTGTCCAGTCTCTTCCCACATCTCCCACACCCCCTGTCCCCCCCCAAAATAGTCAGTCCACTCCCTTTCTATGTCCCTGATTCTATTATAATCACCAGTTCATTCTGTTCATCAGATTATTTATTCACTTGATTCTTAGATTCACTTGTTGATAGATGTGTATTTGTTGTTCATAATTTGTATCTTTACCTTTTTCTTCTTCTTCCTCTTCTTAAAGGATACCTTTCAGCATTTCATATAATACTGGTTTGGTGGTGATGAACTCCTTTAGCTTTTCCTTATCTGTGAAGCTCTTTATCTGACCTTCAATTCTGAATGATAGCTTTGCTGGATAAAGTAATCTTGGTTGTAGGTTCTTGTTATTCATCACTTTGAATATTTCTTGCCACTCCCTTCTGGCTTGCAAAGTTTCTGTTGAGAAATCAGCTGACAGTCGTATGGGTATTCCCTTTTAGGTAACTGACTTTCTTTCTCTTGCTGCTTTTAAGATTCTCTCTTTGTCTTTTGCTCTTGGCATTTTAATTATGATGTGTCTTGGTGTGGTCCTCTTTGGATTCCTTTTGTTTGGGGTTCTCTGCGCGTCCTGGACTTGTAAGTCTATTTCTTTCACTAGGTAGGGGAAGTTTTCTGTCATTATTTCTTCAAATAGGTTTTCAATATCTTGCTCTCTCATCTTCTGGCACCCCTATAATTCTGATGTTGGTGCGCTTGAATCTGTCCCAGAGGCTCCTTACACTATCTTCGTATTTTTGGATTCTTTTTTCATTTTGCTTTTCCAGTTGGGTGTTTTTTGCTTCTCCGCATTTCAAATCTTTGACTTGATTCTTGCGCTCCTCTGGTCTGCTGTTGGGAGTCTGTATAATATTCTTTTTTTTAAAAAATATATTTTATTGATCCTTTGCAGAGAGGAAGGGAGAGAGATAGAGAGTTAGAAACATTGATGAGAGAGAAACATCAATCAGCTGCCTCCTGCACATCTCCCACTGGGGATTGTGCCTGCAACCCAGGTACATGCCCTTGACCGGAATCGAACCCGGGACCCCTCAGTCCGCAGGCTGATGCTCTATCCACTGAGCCAAACCGGTTTCGGCTGTATAATATTCTTTATTTCAGTCCGTGTATGCTTAATTTCTAGTTGGTTCTTTATCACAAAAATCGAGGGTCTCATTAGATTTCTTGAGGATCTCACTATATTTATCGGCAGTCTCACCAGTCTTTTCGAGGGCCTTACTAAGTTTATTGGCGGCTTCTAGCCAGTTCTTGAGAGACCTTAAAAGTGTGTTTTTGAACTCTATATCCTCCATTTCTGTCAGTTGTGTCCTGTTTCTTTGTCTCCACATTTTTTATGCTTTCTTGGTGCACACCCTAGTGGTCTTTGTGCGCAGTCTTGTTGTAGTTAAGCCTTCATTGTTGTAGGTAATACTGGGGGGGATTTGACCTCCAGGCCAACTGGCTGTGAGAATCAGCTGTGTCTGCAGTGGGAAAACTTCTGTCCTCTAGGGGGGTGCTAATCTAGCCTTTGCCTAAGGCT